GGAAGGGGGAGGGAGGGTGGGAAGATAGAGGGAGAGGGGGAGAGAGAAGAGAGAGAGAATGATTTGTTATTCCACTTATTTATGCATTCATTGGTTGATTCTTATATGTGCCCTGACTGGGGACTGAACCTGCAACCTTGGCATATTGGGATGAGGCTCTAACCAACTGATCCACCTGGGCAGGGCTTGCATGAATTCTTAATACACAGTATATAGAATCATTGTAACCATATACAGTAGAAGCAACAAACACATCTAGGTTTGTAATAATTTTATAAACACTAAAGCCCATTTTTTTTCAACTTAGAAGCTAAAGAAATTATTACTCTCACCTATTAGTGAATTTAGGTATATTTCTTTTTTCTTCAAGCTCAAAATGATTCCCTAAAAGGATATGTTTGCAGGTTCTGACCTACTTACTGTTCCAGGTATTCTTGCCTCTCCAACCTGTGTCTATCTTTAGCCTTAGGTGGACTTTTGAGCCCCATATGATAGAGGATAGAGGAGTAGAACTTGTTTTAGCTCTGCTTATCTCATTTTTCCTCTTGTTAAGGCACCTGTAGACTTAGAGTCTAGTGTTCTTTTCCTTCTAAACCACTTTCCTTTTTTTACTCATCTCTATAGTTTTCTTTATGGACGTAGAAAGTAGGGGCTAATGGCATGATAGTAAAATTTTGACATTTTGTTTGAATTGCAGATTTGACTCAGCAGATATTTTTTTTATCTGCTTTGAGTCAGGTGTGAGTTTATTTAGTCCTGGAGGTCACTGGGCAATAAGCCACAGTCTGTGCTTAGAGAGATAGGCACAGATATTCCTTACTATAATGCACACTGTGCTGTGAACATGGGACAAGGAACTCAGGGGAAAGGTGCTGATTTTTTAAGGGGTGGGATGAGGAATTATTTAATTTAATTCTTTGTTATTCTAAGGCACTATCATGACTATCCTTTTAGGAATATTACTTTGGTGCCTTTAGCACTCATTTTTGTCTTCATTCATTTATTCTTTTTTGGAGGTATCACAGAAATTGTCCCATAATCATATTTTTAAGGAAAATCTCAGTTCTGTCTACAAGAATTCCCTTAACCTATTAATATCTGTGATGTGGCTATTTTTCAGGCATAAATCCTGTTTAGAGAACTTAGTTTTTCTAATATGGTATCAATCCTACATTATTGGTTGTCAAAGAATATAGTTTTGCTCACTCTCAGTTATTACTAGAGAATATAATCTCTCTATATTATTGGTTTTACTTTTCTGACAAATTGCTTTATATCTGTCTGTATCTACATATATCACATCACTTTGGTATTATCTCCTCTGCTGGTATTAAAAGGCTCTATAAGAAGCAAATGGGATCCTTAAATCCATTATTGTATTTTCTGTAAGGTTTTGCCAAGAGTGTTGTGCCTTAAGAGTAAAGGTTATTGTCTCCTTATCAAGACTGGCAAAACTTTCTCTCAGAACTTAATGCCAGAAAAGGGGATTTTTTTTTGTGCCCACCCCCCACCTTGAGTTTGTGTTGATATGACAGACACTGATTGTATACTGTGGCCCTATTTGCTTTGTTGCTAGACTTTGAGAATCAAATTTATGATCAGATAACAGTTGTAAAAAACCTTGTATAATTTTGCTGTATGAAAGTACATCTTTCACCTGTTCTTACTATTTTATTTTACTTCTCTCTTAACCTTTTTATTAAAATGTTTTCTCTGTGATTGTATTTATTTTGTTATATATCAAAGATCTTTTTTAGTAATGAGATATTATAATTCAAATAATGATAGTTCTCTCTCTTGTTTGTTTTTAACTAACCTAGGGAGAATTAAAAGGAACAAAATCATTTTTGGTCGCATATCCCAAGTGTATAATTTAATTAATTTTGACAAAGTGGACATAGTTGTGTAATTACCTCCTAGAAACCGAACATTTCTAGTACCCCAGACACTTCCTTCACGCCCATCCCAGTCATTATTTTCCCACAGTAATTACTGTTCTGTTTGTCACTAAAGTTAGTTTTATCTATTTTGAACTTTATGTAAATGGAATCATGTTATGTACTTTTTTTTTAACTGACTTTTTTTGTCCAGTATTATGCTTTTGAAATGCAGGTGATACATTTTTATTGCTATAGTATTTCATTGTATAATTATATCACACTTTATCCACTTAATTCAGTGATGGCGAACCTTTTGAGCTTGGCGTGTCAGCATTTTGAAAAACCCTAACTTAACTCTGGTGCCGTGTCACATATAGAAATTTTTTGATATTTGCAACCATAGTAAAACAAAGGCTTATATTTTTGATATTTATTTTTATATATTTAAATGCCATTTAACAAAGAAAAATCAACCAAAAAAATGAGTTCGCGTGTCACCTCTGACACGTGTGTCATAGGTTCGCCATCACTGACTTAATTGTTCATAGATAATTGTGTTGTTTCAGTATTTTTTCCCATTACACATGTTGCTTAACAATTATGTATGCATTTTTGTTAGACGCATATCTAGGATTCATGGGATACAGAGTGTGTGTTGAGTTTCAGTAGATGATACAGTTTTCCAAAGAGGTGTCAATTTCCCCTTCCACCAGTACAGAATTGGTGTTTCATTTGCTCTACATTTTGCCAACATTTGTTGATGTAATTTTTAATTTTTTTGAAAATATCTTTAGCCATTCTGATTGCTTATTAAGTTGTCTTATTGTAGTTTTAATTTGCATTTCCTGAATGCCGAATTGGAGTGGCTATTAATATTTATTGGCCAATTGGATATCTCCTTTGTCAAGTATCTGTTCAAGCATTTTGTCCTTTATTTGTATTCTGTTCTGTTGATTTATTTATGTATACTTATGTTGTCACCGTCTTATTGCTGTAACTTTATAAGCTTTAATATATGTCTTCCAGCATTACTCTTCAAGATATTCTTAACTATTCATAGCCCTTTCAATTTCCACATAAATATTAGAAACAGTTTGTCGGATTCAGTAAAGTAAAAAAACAAACAGAACAAACGCTGCTGGAACTTTGATTAAAAATTCACTTATTCTAGGAAATCATTTTGTGAGAACTGGTAACTGTATTAAAGGTTTTAGTCTTTTTCATGGTATATACCTTCATATAGTTAAGTCTTCTTTTTTAAAAATGTATTTTTATTGACTTCAGAGAGGAAGGGAGAGGGAGAGAGAGATAGAAACATCAATGATGCGAGAGAATCATTGATCGGCTGCCTCCTGCATGCCCCACACTGGGGATTGAGCCTGAAACCCAGCATGTGCCCTGACTGGGAATCGAACCATGACTTCTTGGTTCATTGGTTGACGCTCAACCACCGAGACACGCCGGCCAGGCAAGTCTCCTTTATTTTAGGTATTGTTTTACTGAAATGGGATTTAAAATTTTTTATTGTCTTATTCCTTTTAATATATAGAAACTAGAGGCCTGGTGCATGAAAATTATGCATGGGTGCAGTCCCTAGGCCTGGCCGGCAATCGAAGCACGAACATCTGGCATGGAAGGGCAGGTCCCAGCTGACCTCTGGGCCCTGAGCAGCACCTGGGCCCCAGACCCCCGTGTGCGGCCCCTCTGCCTGAGTCATGCCCCTGAGTCCCCATGCAGAGATGGGGTGAGCGTGGCTGGGGTGCAGTGTAGGCCATTGAGCCCTCCAGTGGCACCAAAGGGAAGCCAGGAGAGCAGCGCGCTCTCTCCTGGCCAGCTTTGCAGACTGGCTCCTGTGCGAACCCATGGGGAGCCCAACCATCCCCTGCGGTTTCGGCAGCTGCAGCCCGGCTCACCTGGAAGAGGCCGCGTGGGTGTGGGGCTTCCTTGGCATGCGAGCCCTAGCATGGGAAGGGTAGCAGGGGGAGTGAGAGCGAGCTCGGCAGACACCCCAAATTCTCACCACACCTCTGTCCCTGTCACCCCCACCCTCAGGTAGCTGGCGAGAGGTTGCAGCACCCCCGCCTGGGTGCCGCAGGAGGTTGGTCACTGCCACCCACCCCTAGTTCCCCATCCTAGCCTGGGGCCCAGCTCAGATAGGGCGATCAGGGCTTGCCGGTCACTGGTTGCTATCTGCAGGGCAATTGATCGGAGCTGGGCCCACCGCCCGCCCGCCTTCCTCGCACCTGCTTTAGCCAGGCACCACCCACTCACCTGCTCCACCATTCTGCCACGGTCCTGCTCTTGTCGAGGCTGGCAGCGCCTCCACTGCCGTCTGCTGACAATGCTGCATCGCCAATGCCCACCATGTTCCGTGCCACCCCCTGATGGTTTGCGCACGTCATAGCGAGCGGTCAAACTCCTGGTCGAGGGAACAGTTTGCATATTAGGCTTTTATTATATAGGATTAATCTTATTTTAAAAATTCTACTTTTTACCTGTATTATACTTTTTATCTTTAAACTTGGTATTAACTTTATCAACTTTTAATTCTTAAATTCTTAATTTTATCTATAGATTCTTTAGTATTTTTTACCTACAAAATCCTGTTGCTGTTAGAAATGACTCTTATCCTATATGATAAAAGGCTAATATGCAAATTGTCCCCATGGGCGGGAGTTCAACCAACCAGGAGTTAGACGTGTGCTGACCACCAGGGGCGGTGCAGAATATGGTGCATGTTGGTGACACGGTGCTGGCAGTGGGCAGCAGTGGAGACACTGCTGGCCCCAATGGGCCCCGACAAGAGCAGGACCATGGTGGGATGATGGAGCAGGTGAGTGGGCAGCACCAGGCCAAGGCGGGTGCGAAGGGAGGCCCCGGCTGGCAGCTGGAAGCCACTAGGGACCCTACCCATGCACAAATTTCATGCACTGGGCCTCTAGTTTCTTCATAATCTTTTTTTCTTTTCTTTTTTTTGCCTTGTTATAGAACCAGTAGCACAACTTACTACTCATGCTATTGATCTGTGAACTTACTGATTATATTCAGCTAACATGTATTTAGCACTTAGTTTTTCTCTTTTAAAGGTAGGCACATCTAACTCTCTGTTTTATTTAATAGTGAACTGAATTCAAAGCTGCAAGATACTTTAGAACAAATTGAGGTAAGAAGGATTACATCAGAAATTAATTGGCTTTTTTCAGCGGTTTTTGAATAGCATAGATACATTGTATGTTTTGACTTTTGTGTTTTTACCAGTGTTTCTAGATCACTATGCTATATTTGTTTTGCATTTGGAATATCTGTACATAGTCAAGTATACGTTAATCTATTTGTAAATGCAAGCAGGTTACTTTTGAAATTATAGGATCTAAAAACGGTATTTGAAAATATCATTATATCCAGAAAGATCCCCAAATTTTAGTCATAGGTATATTCTCATATAAATTATAGCCAAAATACTTACCATGTTAATTTTTTTTTTATCATCCATTACTACTTTTTGGTTTAGTGAGTTAATTTATTTAAGAATGATTATTGGCTGATAAAAACACTCCTAAATTCCTAACCTCAATAATATTTGCTATAATTCAACAAAATGTAAGAACTGGAAAGGAAAAAATATGTCATTATTAGCATAAATGAGGTTTTGCTTTTCCTCGGTCACTTATTCAGAGTTCATCTCTTTCCTTGGCAATCTTTGCAAAGCAGGGTATTCATTTTTATAAATTTAATAAGAATTATTTGGTTTCTTATATTTTATTGTTTTCCGATAAGGGTAGTTATAAAAATTTAGGCTGGACTTTCAAATGGCGTTTTGTGAAAGTAGTTTTTGTTAATAAATGCAATTATTTACTAATTGTAAGAATGACTGTTTGGTAAATCTAAAGATAACTGCTTTGAAAATCTTTTAAGTATGTAATCACTTAAAATTTTAATGAGGAATTTCTTTTGAAAGCTCTGTATTTATTCACTCTTAATATGCAGTAGTTTATGTATGTATGTAGAAAAGTCATTATTTTAAAATGAAATAATTGATATAGAAATCCATAAAGTTGTTGAATTTAGATATAAAAGATGTATTTTAAGGTCAATGTAGTTTTGTTGAGAATTACTTTTCAGTGATTACAATAGGATTGTTTCATTATTTTTTAATAGTTGCACATTTTCAGTTCATACAGTTATAAGATTTTAGTAGATGAGGAAACAGAGTTAAGTAAAAATTACAAAACTAAAATTTTTTTGGTAGCTGTTATACAGATTTTGTGTCTCTTGAAACACTAGACATGTGTTGTATTTTTAAAACATATTACTAACATCTTGGTAAAATTTGATTATAATTAGTAACAAATGAGAATTATAATTTCTTTATATTTTTATTTAAATTTGCTTTTGACTATTAGATCATTGTGATAGTAAATGGCTTTAAATATTAATTAAAAGTGATAAGTTAGTTTTAACATTTTCCCATTGACTTGAAAATCTAATTCTTTCACCGCCTCTTGCCTCCTCTTTTACTTACATAGGAACAGTTGGATGTGGCTCTTTCTAAAATCTGCAAGAATTTTGACATTAATCATTATACCAAGGTTCAACAAGCTTATCGACTTCTTGGAAAAACACAGGTCAGTCTTGAAAGGTTGCGTTTTTAAATATTAGGCATCTGCTGATACTCACATTGCTTAAGTCTGAATATTATTAACGGTGTGTCCTTAAAGTTTTATTTGACAAAGTAAATTTTTTAGCTGTCTTCACAGTAGTAACATGGTTGTTCACGTAGGCTCAGAGTATATGTAGTGTGATTAAAACATTACAGAAGTTTGTTTTGAAATGTGAAGTGTTTGTCAGGTTTAATATTTTCAAAATTTCATGTAGGTTTTAAAACAAGTATAGTATAAGCTAATTCTGTGGGGGAGGATATGTAGTCTCTTTTACTTCACCTTTTGGTCCTGAATGAGAACTTCTTTATTGGGAGCTCTGTGGTTCCTAGGTGGGCTTGCATGACTCCCTCGGAGTGGTGTATACACTTTCATGCACTGTGCACATTTGTCTGTAAAGCAGATAAATGGCATTTATCAGATTTTTTTCAAAGGATTTTCTTATCCCCAGAATGTCCTCATACTCCCTCTATGCTTCTTGGCTTTACATACTTTTACTGCTCAATGTCTTCTTTGAAAAACTTGAAAAAGGAGTGTGTAGGGTTATATAGTATCTACAGAACATCTAAACATGATAGATGGAAACGCTTTCTTCCATTAAATGGTTTCTTGTCTTAGAAAGAAATTTAAGATCTTACTAAGTCATTTAAACTGTACTTACATTTTTAAATCTGAGCAAATAAATTTTTTAATGTACTTCATTAATTTTCATGTCCTAAGCTATACCTACAAAAAAAACATAAGAAAGAAAATACTTGGTAGTTTTGAGGATTATAAGACCTTTGAAAATATGATTATAACTTCTAATTTTCCCCATTAGAGAAAGTTATTCACCCATTAAATATCTGTTGGTACCTACTTTTGTTCATTGCTTCAGACACCTCATGTGAGGATATAGGTCGTCATGTATCTTCTCTTCTAGTGAGGAAGACAGACATTAAAAAAATAAATGAATATGATGTCAGGAGAAAACAAGTGCTATAAAGAAATATATATCAGAGTAAGTGGATAGGGTGATGTAAAGTACTGATTTATATAAGATGGGCAGGATAGGCTTCTCTGAAAAGGTGGCCCTTGAGAAGCATTCTGAACAATTCAAGGAAATGATGGCAGAGGAGATCCAAAGGTGTGTTTATGCAAGGCATATTTGACAAAGAACAGGATGGCTACCAATCATAAATGCAGACCAACAGAGCAGTGCTCTCGATTCAGATTTATCTTTAGTTGTATGGTGTTGTGGTTATTTAATGGGTTATTTGCAAATAATCAACATTACAATTATAATTCTATATATAATAATGATCTTTGTGCTATAGCTATAATCTGTAAAGATTTTTTCCTGAGTTTTTCAAAACTGTTGAAATTTTTTATTTTAATAACATGTAATTATGTTGTGTATTTTCTTTCCATAGACAGCAATGGATCAACTTCATATGCACTTCACCCAAGCCATTCATAATACTGTGTTTCAAGTTGTTCTTGGTTATGTGGAACTATGTGCAGGAAACACAGATACAAAATTCCAAAAGCTGCAATACAAGGATCTCTGTACAGTATGTAGTAACTTAATTGCTTTTCATATGTCTCTCTTAGATTTTAAATTCACATCCCCTTCTTATTAGCACCTATTATTTGAAGATGCTACTACAATAGAAACAAATATGTTTGCCAAATATATTTTTCTCCTATGTTCTTTTCATCATAGAGTAACTGGAAGATTCAGTCACAGTCACAGAAATGGTGAAGGTTGATGAGATAGTACAGATTTGGGGTGCAGTTGCTTCTAAGTGGACTTTCTACCCTCTCATAGCTCCTTATACTCTGCTTTGTCAGGCTCTTAATTCTCTTCCATGATTGCATTTGAGGTGCTTCTAAGCAATCATCTGTGCTGGTTTTTCATACACACTTTGATTCAGTCTTTTTGGGTGAATAAATGCTGTTTCTGTTGCATCTATTACCAGTTTTTTTTGTGTGTTTTTTTTTTTATTCGTAAAGAAACATAGGTCTGTGGGTGAGAAGTGAACTGAGTTGGGCTCTGTTTTAGAATTGATCCTATAGTGGATTGATGTAGAGTGTGAGGAAAAGAGAATGATGAACTCTGGGAGAATGGTGATGTCATTTGCTTTTACAAGGAAGACTGATGTCTGTAGTGGAAATTCATGAGTTTTGTTTGATTGATATCTATTAATATTCAAGTGGACTTGTTGAAGAGGCAGTTGGATAAAAGAGCCTAAGGAGGTCAGAATTGAAGTTATAGATTTGGGAGTCTTTAGCACAGAATTGTATTTAAAGCCATGATACTAAGATGAGAAGATTGGGGGAACAGGTATAGATAGAAAATTCATGATGTCCCTGGGCTTTGTACATTCAGGGGAGAAAAGATTGGTAGAAGATTCTGAGCAAGAGCAGCTAGCTGTGTAGGAAGAAAAGTAGGAGATGGTGGTATCACAACAGCCCACAGAAGGAAGTGTTTCAAGAAGAATTGACTGTAAACCTATCTCTAATGCTTCTGAGAGTCTGGATAAGGTGCTATCACAGAATTGACCTCTTGCTTTGACAATGTGGAGGTCATTGTTAATGTTGATCTCTAATTCTAGCCCCAGGTCTCTCATTGGAGACTTTCATAAGTTTTCTCTAATGTCAACTCAGAAAATAAAAATTCTAGGAAGTAGACATCAATTCTCTACTCTAATTATGCCCAGGAATCCACGTTAAATTAAGCTAATCTTTATTCTTCAGTGAGTTTATTTGTCGAAAGTTCAGGTTCTGTCTTTTGGGAACTGGAAAAATATTCTTACTTGAGCTACAACAACTATTCTAGAAGAATGTAATAATATATGGTAGATTAAGGATTAAGTTAATGATGACAGTGGATAGTTGTTAATAGAGGTAAAAATATCTTTTTAAAATCAGGAGGACTTATTTTATAAATTTTATGATTATTAACTTAAAGTGTGAAATAGTTACATATTTACATTTTTAAATACCCAGTTTTAAGTACAATCATCACTTAATAACATTTTGGTGATTTTGAATGTGTTATTGTCTTTTTTAAAAAATATTTTTATTGATTTCAGAGAGGAAGGGAGAGGGAGTGAGAGATAGAAACATCAATGATGAGAGAATTATTGATCAGCTGCCTCCTACACGCCCCCCACTGGGGATCGAGCCCGCCACCCGGGCATGTGCTTTTGTCTGGAATTGAACCTGGGACCCTTGAGTCTGCAGGTTGACACTGTATCCACTGAGCCAAACCAGCTAAGGCTGAATGTGTTATTTTCTTATTCATTTATTTTCATAGGTTGATAATGTGTTTTAAATTAAATATCTAAACAGTCAATTTTATTTTTAATTCTATTAGTGTTATTGTCGCTAATAGATGATACTGTCACTAATAAATTATTTAAATGGTAAAGCAATTTAATTCAAGTTAGTGACTTTTCTGTTAAAGCAAAAATAACTTTTAATATTAAAATAAACATTTTATTTATTTATTTATTTATTTATTTATTTATTTATTTATTTAGAATCTTTCTTGAAGAGGCACTCCGACTTCTGGCCTGGTTCACTATTTATTTACTTGAATACACATTTGCCCTTTAGCAATGCATGCAGGCATATCAAAGGTAAAGTTTGGTAAACAGTAAAAGGATTATCATGTTAGGGAATTGCCTTGAGCCACCACTATCCAATTGGTGCTTATGCCCAAGGTGTGCACTACAGTGTTGGCAAGCAATGGCTTCCCATATCTCCCTTTTTTTGTTTTCTTAATAAATCTTGAAAAGTGTATGCTGTCTGTAGGCCTTGAGTCATTTTAAGACTCTTCATTCCGCATCTGCAGACTAGAAATAAACATATAAGAACAAGAATGAGACAGATAATAGTGGTTATGCTAAGAGGCAGATGTAGGGAGATCCAATGAAGATTTTTGTCCTTCAATCTTTTTTTTAAATATATATATTTTTTTATTGACTTCAGAGAGGAAGGAAGGGGAAGGGGGAGATAGAAACATCCATGGTGAGAGAGAGTCATGGATTGGCTGCCTCCTGCAAGTCACCCACCGGGGGTCGAGCCCACAACCCAGGCATGTGCCCTTGACCGGATTTGAACCTGGGACCTTTCAGTTCGCAGGCTGACGCTCTATCCAGTGAGCTAAACCAGCTAGGGCTGTCCTTCAATCTTTTTGACTTTGGTTAAATGTGATGTGTTTGTATATGTGTATAGTATATTTTGTTACCATTGAACTTTTATATGCTTAAATAAAGTCAAGGACATATTTTTGTTCATGCTTCCTGAGAAGGTTCTCTGTGCCTTTATATAACATAAAGCTGAAAGTTGTACTTAGCGTATAAATTTTTATGAATAAAAATTGTGCTAAAGGTGTTTATCATGACATTATTATTAGTTTTTTAAAAACTCCTTTCACTTTTTTCTTAAAGCTTACTGTAAAATAACCTATTTAAGTAGCTGAGTGTACTTAAATGATCAGATAACAAAGATCTTATTTCATCTTGAATAAATGCTTGTTAAAATTACTCCCAAGAAGTACCTAGTATACTTCTTTATAAAACTATCCATATATGTGTGATATAGTACGTGAGGTGTGTGTGTGTGTGTGTGAGTGTGTGTGTGTGTGTATAAGATTATGTGAAACAAGTGATTCATTGGTGTACTAGAGCTTTTTTTTTTCCCCCCCCCCCCCAGCCCCCAACAGCAGGTACATATATTATTATTCATTCAACACAGTTGTAGTCTGGTTTATATTCAAGCTATTGAAGATGTTTTAGTTTGAAGTGGTGAGAATAGTAGCAAATGTTAATGATGGCTTCCTGGAGGAATTCCTTTTGAGGACAGGATTTAACAGAATTAGCTATGGCAGGGTCTTTATGTTGAAAGAATAGACTTAGAGGAGCTGAATAATGAGATGAAGAATGTGATACATTTTAAGGTGGCCCATTTTCTTTGGTACTATCTCCATAAAAATTTATGGAAGCTCAGAAATTACCCCAGGCCTCTTATAAAGTATTCAATTCAGTGCTACTATCGGCAGACAGGATTGGGGACATCTCTTTGAAACCTAATTAAGTTTTAAGTTATTTTATAATCTTGAGTCATATTTGACATGCTTAAACCAGGTAGGATTAGGAATAAATTATTTCACATCATATTTATTTATTTAGTTAGTTTGATGAAAAGATGTAAACTTTTAGCAACTGAGTTCTATAAATGAAGATAGTTAGCTCAGGGGAGGAAAAGTGGAGGGAACCTTTAAAAGTATAATAAATAAGCTGATAAAAGGAAAGTTTAAAGTGTTTTCTTGATGAGAACACATATCCAGGTTCTTAGAATGGCATAACTCAGGCCAGGGAGACAATTCAGGAAGGAGCCTTGTATTAAAATGTAAAGTTCTTAATTTTTCAAGATGTGGCAATTGGGAGTCATTTTAGTCCTGCATAGAAGCAACTGATAATAATTATGAAGGAAGTACTAGTGCAAGAATGTATGTGGCAATGGAGTGTCAGGTAAGAAAAAAACAACAGAGGCCTCAGGAAATATGTATAGGGCAGGGTTTTCAACCTTTTTCATCTCATGGCACATATTAACTAATTACTAAAATTTTGCGACACACCAAAAAATATATTACATTTTTTGTCAATCTGACAAAAAAAAAGTTATAATTTTGAATCATTCACACCAATCAGCTATTGTTGTGTTGCTTTTGTCATTTATTTTTTATTTGACAATCTAAGGGGAAAGAGGTCTAATTATATAATTAGATATAATTTTTATTCTTTCAAAATTTTGATTCATTTTGGTATAATTTTGATTCATTCACACCAGACAGCTATTGTTGTGTTGGCTCTTGTCATTTTTAAATTTGACAATCTAAGGGAAAAGAGGTCAGTACCCCTGAATAAATAGTTAGGTATTGCAGGTTTTAGAAGTTCTTGCGGCACACCAGTTGAAAAATCACTGGTATAGGATATTGACTGGCAGATTTTAGAAGTTAGAAGAAACAGCCAAGGCATTTGGGTAGTTGTTCTCTTTTCAGTAGCAATATTTTTAAGGAAGTCTTTAATTATAGATAGAGTTTAAATAGAACATTAAAAAATGAAATAAATGAGATGGCACACTGAACAGAGTTTAGAGAGGGATGGAGTTTCTGTAAATGGAAAAATTGAGTTTCCTTTAAATGGAGAGAGATTGGAAATGAAAAGAGATAATCATCTGCTTGCTCTTTTTCATAGTATTATTTTAAGCCATCAACAGATATCAGATATTTTAAACCATTAACTGCCCTCTTGCAGTCCAGGACCCCTCGCTCCTTACTGCCTGCCTGCTCCCTGCTCCTTAGTGTTGCTGCGGAGGCGGGAGAGGTTCCAGGAGAGGTTCCGGCCACCGCCGCTGCGCTCTCCAGCCATGAGCCCAGCTTCAGGCTGAGCGGCGCTCCCCCTGTGGGGGCTCACTAACCACCAGGGGGCAGCGCCTGCATTGAGCATCTGCCCCCTCGTGGTAAGTACTCACCATAGCGACCGGTCTTCTGGTCGTTCCG